CTCCGGTCTTAGATTTGTGCCTCATGGAGTTTTTGTTTGTTTGTCTTGAAGCTGGCTGAAACAACATCCAGAACCAAATAGGGAAGCTCTAGCGTTTAAAACAATATGATAAAATGAAACAAAAAAATAAATCTAAAACATCTTATATAATGGGACGGAGGGAGTATGTTATATATGAGTATAGCAATATGATAAAAGTATAAAGATGGGGCAATATGAGAATATTAATGGGTGATTTCAAAAACAAAAACAAAAAAAAAGATCGAGTTTAATGTCACTAGTTGGTTAAAGAGTATAGTGCAGATCAATAAGTTGATCTTGTTGAATTAGACTCACAATTCAATATTTTGATCCGCCTATGAAGAGCCTCAAGAATTTTTGTCAATTTATATTTGTACATGTAATGCACCAAATCCATAATAGCTGCGAGAAAAAATTTCACTTGCCACGTGTCCTTTCTTGCCACTTGCCACAATTATTGATAGTTAAACCTGTAATGTAAATAAACAATTAATTTGTTAGATAGTTATATTTCATTTATCAACTCAAAACCAGGTATTTAGATATCCATATAATTTGTTAGACAGCTATATTTATGCATAACGCTAAAAGTGAAGACATAGATCCATAAGATATTACTTAACAAAGTAAAACTTTGCATAACAACCATTTCAATAAATAACTACCTATATTTAGTAATATTTATAAATAGCATGCTATCGGATGATGTACGTTGCTATATAGAGATATGGATGTGAAATGACATGATATTTAATTTCATAACTCTCTATAATTATTTATGCATATTTAAACATTCCATCAAAATTAAATCGATTAAAGTGAACTAACAAAATTGTGAAACAAAATACTTCTTCTTTTCATCGCTCTCTCCGCCTCTTTTTTGGCGATTTTCTTAGATCTCATCTCTTAGTCGATCTGAGCTTGGATCGGTGCCGGTGGCTTCGTTAGCACTGGTACCGGTCCTTTTGTTTTCGTCTTAGCTTTGTTTTTCTTGGTGTAGTGTCTGTGCAGCCTTGAAGAGTGGATTTTCTTCCGATGTT